GTTATTCATAATATTGTATGTGAATAGATTGTTATTCTTGTTTCTGAAGTAATAAATATTTTTCATCCTTCTTCGCCCTTGTCCTATGACAATTATTAATAATCAGCATTAAAAATTGTATTGTTACTTAGCACGTTAAACGGTCGTATCTTTTGTAAAAAGTTTAATTTTTTCAGTTTTAACTCGACCTTCAAGCGTTTCTTAATAGCAAGGTCTTGACAGATAAACAGACAGACGAAAAATTAAGTGACCTTGTTCATTATATAACTTTACGGTACGTAAAGTAACTTAGTAAACATGTAAACGTTTTTCAAACATTGTCAAGGTGCTCAGATACAACTATTTATAGGATATCTAAAAGCAAGCCTATAAAGTATTTAAAACACGACATGTGTAAGAATAAATATATGTACATAATAATTTGTAAAATTTATTTTAATTAAAATAATATTATGAGTCAATCTATGTTGACAACGTTCGAACATCGACCCTTAAAACCCAAACAGAATGGAAAGCAGCCTCCAACACTTTGGCCAGGGAAATTGGATTGGCGGAAAACTGTGCACGTGTTGGAAAGATATCTCATTGGTAACACGTGCTAATAATTTCCTTTACGAAATTACGGTTTATTGGTTTGTATATCATTTGTATTCAGGCACAACGGGGTTGGGTGATTTAAGCAATACATTGCTCGGGAAATGTTTTAATTATAAGTTGTACGTTGTAACTATAAGTTGTTGTATAGCGCCTTTAAATACCGCTGAGTTTGTAAGACATAATTTCAGTATTTAAAGCATTAAATCTTATGTACAATTATATTGAGAGTTAAACAGATTTGTTGTGTGAATTTTTTAAGGAACACTTATGTAAAAACTTTAAGTAATGTATCTCGGGGAAGTTTAGATTACAGTTTGATGTATATTTTTAAGAGTTATCGACGCGTAATCTGAGTCCATTTTAAGGCATAGGTAAGATTATTTTAATAAAAGTTGCAGCGATAGATTCATAACCATAGCTGGCACTTAGCTTTTTGAAATGCATCTATGGTTATTATCACTGTTTACTGCCTACAGAATTAACGTACCTTAATAAACACTAAAACAATAGATCATATTAGCGGTTGAATACGTGAATTAAGAGAAGTTGTTTCTACATACTCGATATTAAAATAGAATTATTCGATTTTAAACAAACATGTATAACAACGCAATGTCTGTTTGACCTAATTGTTACTTGTAACATAACCTTATTGGCAGATGCGTTGTTCATTGCTAAATATGTACCGAACTTTTGTTAATCCAGGTGAGATAAATGTTTATGAACATTTATCTCACCTGGATTAACTTATGGAAAATTAGAAGTTAAATTTCATGACATATGCCAAAATGTTATAGAATTAATAATAGCCTTTTCTGGTTACAGTTAATTACTCTGATCTGAACTGGTTTTTAGGTGACATTAGACATTATCGTATGTATGAGGTGCGCCTAGAATAAAGCTTCTCAATTCACATAATAAATAAATCTATAAAACAGATTGAAGTCGCTAATTAATAATATGTGGAAGATGGTGTCACTTATTCTATAGAAATAATTTAAAAAAATATTCAAGAATGTGATTACACATTCACTTTAATTAGTTGAATTATTAATATAACTGGGGAAGAATATTATTTTTATGTTATCAATACTTTGAGTGAAATAAACAAAGTTAATTTTATCAATCCGGATAATTCCTCAAGGTTTAATTAGACTAAGTTTGATGTAATTAATTTTCACTAAGGCAACACAATCTAGGAAAGCTTCGATTCAGTCGGCAGCGAAGAGCGAAGTTTTAAACAATCTTGAGTGCGTAAATGGGAAAATTATCGCTCTATATGTCAGTGACATAACTAAACCAATTAACATATTGAGACTATTAATATATATTAAACACAAGGTTCTGATGAATATTAATATTTTTACCGAGCGTTAACAAATTTTCTTAAGTGTCTACTACAAAAATTATACATATTTCGAAAAATAACTCACACACATGTTTTTTGTACTAGCTGTAATTTATAACTTAATTGAATATTGAAAATAATTTGTAAACATAAAAAAAAGGCCGTGTGTAATATAAATTATAACATAAATTTACATTGGAACGCAAAAAAATGGAATGATGTTAGCAATCATCAAAAAAATATAGAATTGTTATTACGAAAGCGTTATTAACCACCACCAGAGAGGGACGCACGAAGAGAGCGGCGGGATCTACCCGCCAGTATGGCGGGGGCGGCCGAAAACGCTTTACGTGTCGCGCGCGAGTGACAACCCTACATACAATTTTACGTCATTTACCTGAAAAAAAAAAAAAAAAAACAAAACACGGTCACTTTAATCTTTTTTTCGGAAAAGTATCTAAAATATAATACCTATAAATATTCGGAACATAAATTTAATTTGTAATAATATATAAATATTCATTATACTTTCAATTCCGTTTAATTATTAAGTTTTTACTTCCCAGTTTAAAGTTGATGCTCAAACTTATTTTAGTTTACACAAAACATACATTAAACTTATTTAATCGTTTTCTCGCTAGTGTTTTTAACTTTGTGGTTACTGTTTAAAAATATAGTCATTATTTTTTCCATTCAATGTAAGTATATTAAAATTGTAGTGAATAAGTTAATGGCAATTTAATTATATTGAATTTTAGCATTTAACCACTGTAATAAGTATTTATTTTTCCGCAGATGTTCAACTGGATGATTTTTTTTAATACTTTTATTATAAACATTCAAAATGTGTCGTCACGAAAAGCTCATTGGTAACTTCACTGTATACAGTGCGTTCAGGAAACGAAATAACTTAAACAAAATTATTATTTTATTTTTTATTATTTTGTTTAAATATTATTAAAAATATTGTTACGTTTCGTTACATTAATAAAATTTACAAATATTCAAGTAACTGATAAAAATTCAGCTAAGGCTTAGTGGGAAAACAATCTGCAATCTTACATTGCACATGAAATGATCTAACCATTACCCGAAAGCATGTAATTTGAAGGAAAAATAAAAAAAAAAACTACTTCTTGTTTCGTGAATGTATCACCTAACAAAAGAAGGCAACACAAAGAGCAATGGAACACATTTTGCTGAACGCCTCGCACCGTGTCCTATATTTCTAACGAGATGATGCGCTAGTCTGTTTCGTTAGTTCGTAACGTGCAAGACCTTTTAATAATTTTAAAATGTACAACGTACTAAAATGTTATCTAATTCAAAGACTTAATAAATTTTATAGTTAACAAGCGTGGGAAATAGAATTTTAGTAAAATAAACTACAATATGTGAAAATTTCTGTCACATTTTTGATACTGTTTAGTTACTTACTCCTTATATTAACCTTAAAGCTCAATTAGGAAGGTCGATCTTCCTAAAAATTGTCTAACACCCTTAATTCGTAAACTTTATTAAAATAATCAATGTCTCTATATCAGAAACCGTTTATTGGTTAAGTTGGATGTTATACTATAATGAGCATTCAATAATTAGTAAGGTATCGTAACGTTTTTTTTCTCTGTTTTAAATAGTTTTTTCGTAGAAAAAATAAGTTTTACCCACCGTTAGTTATAATTAATAAATGTAGTATTCAGGGAGGCACAAATCTTAATATTTAAAAACAAATACTATTTATTTTGCTGTGAAAACGCCAAGTATGAATTTACTTGGGAGATCGTGAGTTTTTGTTCCAAGCCGTTACAACACAACATATTGTGTTACAAGCAATTTGACGTGTAAAACGTGTTCAATTTTTTTCATACGACAGTTAATCAATCTGCGCTTAAGGAAGATGTTGACCATTATTCCAAATTCCGGTTAACAACTGACGTCTTTGTTTACCTGTTTTGTATAGTACATACTAAATTGTACTGCGGTATTATTTTAATGCATATTAATTGCGCGATCACTAAAAATTAAAAAAAAAAAAAAACTTTTATAAATACACGATGTTTTAGTTCTTTTGCTTAATTTAATAGAAATATAGGTGTATTAATACATGTCGTATTATCCGTACGTGATTGTGTGTAATCGAAAATGAACAGAAAAATACTATAAATATAATTTTATTTAAGAAAATAAGAATAAATATAATAATAGGTATACAATCTATTTTAATAAGATAGAAGCAAAGAAAGATTTCAGGCACATAAATGCAAACAAAAGGCAAAAAGCACTTTTCCGAGATTGACTGGATGGAATTGTTGCCAGTCGCTATATTGTACAGCATTGTTGTTTTTGAAGTTGCACACTAGCTTTTGTTAGTCCCAGTTTGTGGTTATGGAAAAACCTTATGTACTCTCTAGAATAACATTTAAAATGATAACATTTCAAATACATGGGCATATTCTTTAGCGAAATGTTCAAAATTTGTTTATAGTATTGGCAATCATTTTTCTTTTCATACTTTCCGCTAAAAAAATCTCAGACCTATGGGAATGGACGATGATTAGCTATAAAACACACCACATTTATCTTTATTGATTAGTTGTTTGGCATACTTTTTGATAATTTTCATTTAATGATATCATTACCCTAATTTAACTATAATACTATACGTTTTTTTATTAATAATTCCATGAGTTTTCATTCTGATGCCATAGGACGGGTTTGAGGTTTTAAATTTAACCATAAAAGAGGTGTTAGTTTACAGAATAAAGTAGTTTCTTATTCACACTGCTAGTTTGATATTCAAAATACATACACAATTCAATCAAAATAAATTAAAATGATTACAGGTAATAAATCTATCTAAATAGATTATCTCATAATGTTTATTTCAGATACATGGATTGATAAGGATTTTATAAAATGTGCGTGTTCAAGTGGCGAACTAAGCTAGTTATTTGTGTCAAATGCGATTGATTGCAATAAGGGATTAAGTGACAAAGTAATTTCAAAGTGACTGGCTCATATAAGAAGCTTATTGGAGTATCGTGTAGCAGGTGGAATGGAGGTAATACTTTCAACGACAAGCCGCGTTCTAGTGGCTATTTTTGCCGCCATTTGCTGGAGCGTAGGTAAGTTTACTCTTTTTTTTAATACGATTATAATATGTATAATTAATACATTCCGATTATATGCCAGTTTTACCCTATTGGCTTATTTATTTTTTGCTAACAGAAATAATTAATTTTATTAAATGTTATTTAATTAAGGAACGATAATATCACTTTTATGTGGTTAAATTAAAAAATTAACATCACTTCGGGTTTTTTTTTTCTTTTACTTTAACTGACGTTTTTGCTTTCAGTTCAGACCATAAAATTTCTAACTTCGGGATTTTTAAGCCGCGGTCGCCATATGCTACGGGCTTGTTCATTTCTAATGTACTGCTACTTTGACATTAGATATTTTTGAGAAAATATTTCAATTTCATACAAAAAAAAATATTTCGAAGTTATGTGAAGTGTGCACATCCTCTGTGGGTTCGCGTGGTGGACTATGATGGTCTGTACATAGGATGAGGCCTTTGACTAGCAGTGGGGCATATATAGGATGTTTTTATACTTTACTTTATTACAATTTCTCTATTTGATTTTATTTTACTTCGATGTAAATTTTAAAACTTTATAGATATTCAATACATGAATTACATAAAGCTAATAGACAAGGTAATAATAAAATAATGTTATAAACAAAACACGAGTTATAGACGCGTGCATACGAGTATGTAAACTGTAAACATAACTAATAAGTGCTCTAAAAATTAAGTGTTTAATACCTACATTTACAATTATGGATATCGACACGTTGAATTCTACGGGGAGATTCGAATACACCATAACATTTAAGTACTAAAAAGGATGAAAATCTATGGTAACACTAAACGCACTTTCCATTTATGTTACTGTGGTTTATTTTTTAAATATTCTTAAATGTGTTGATTTGTTAATTATTTCAAAGAAATGAAATGTAATTATATTATAAATAGGCACGTACGTTTTTCGTGTTGCATTCATAGATATAATAGTTGGTATAAAATGATGGACTATTTCGATAAAAGAAAATCTACTCAGGACCCAAAATGTAGGCCTAAATAAATACTTTCAGATAAATACATATCAGTTACAAATGGTAACCGTTACGCCGACGATTACAGTCGATTACTTCTTTCTGATTATGACATACGAAATATGATATATTTGGCCGTGAAATTAAAGTGAAAAATAACTTTAATATCTTAGTTTTTATAAAATTTTGTGTTTCCTTTATTAAAGCTGAAGATAGATTAAAAGTAAATAAATGATTGTACAATTTATTTGTATTAGTAATCATATAAACAAATAAAATATTTAAAAAACTCAGGATGCAACCACATCATACCATCCTTAACAATCTTAATTTACGTAGACATTCCATCATTGTAAATAATATCTCTCCAGATCTATTTTTTCTTCTAGGTCTATTTAGAAAATAAATAATCAGAGTAGTTTAACGAAGTATTTGAGCATTTACTACTGATAATTCAACAGAAATATGGTCATTCACTAACACTATATTACACTAAGTCGAATTAAGACTGGACTATAAAACTAAAATAATTGATAAACATAATGTACCTCTTGTTCAAGGTTAGCAAAAATAAATGTTAGTTTATTTGAAGTTGTTTTACTATTATTTTCTTTTTTAAACAAATATACTAATACCCGTTTATATAACAGTCTAAATATGTTAATAATAAGTCAATGTATAAAATACATTACATAAACAATAAACAAAAATAATAAGTCTCTACTTTTATAAGTTCAGACGTGAAAGGTAAAGGACATTAAGACTACCTTAGAAATATAAATAATAAAAAAGTACAACTTAAATAAAAAAATATCCTTTTTGCATAAATGCTATGTTTTCTACACACAGGCGTCGGCGGACTGCATAATCTAGAAATAAACGTACCTTATGCGGTTCTTTTAGACGAAACCGTTACTCTAGAGTGCAGTTGGCAATTGGAAGATGAAGAAACATTATATAGCGTTAAATGGTATAGGGGAAAAGAAGAATTTTACAGATACATTCCTAAAGAATTACCCCACACAAGAGTATTTCCTTTACCAGGCATCGAAGTCGACGTAAGTAATTTAGTAGTCCTTTTTAATAAAATAATTATTTTATTAAAACATAACTAAGACTTAAGTTAATTTTTATATGTAAAATTTTTTGCCAACTATCCTTTACAATATGATTATACATAATGAACTGTCCTAGTAATTTTATTCATTGGTTCATCCCGTTCGTTTTCCTCAATATTTAATTTATATGTAAACTAACATTTTTCAATAAAGTTTTACTTACACGTTGATCTTTAATAAACGATATAAAAGTTAGTATAATTCACCAGTGATCGTTATATTATAATAAGATTTTTTTTATATTAAATGTAATATTTAGCCTTGAAACATTTTTAAACCTTTAAACATAAGTTACAACACAAAGAAACCAACTAAAATTATAAACGAGAGGGTAATGAGATTTTATATGATCTGGCGAGAAGTATTTTTTTAAACTGAAAAGTAAAGTAATTTTATAGTTTTGTGCTTTTTATGAGATGTTACTGTTTTTATTAGATACTTATTTACTCACTCGCAAGAATCCGGCATTTGTTTAAAGTATATTACTATTACATATTGCGACTTTAATTTTGTAATATATTTTGGATTGAATGGAATATATTTTTAAAATGTTATCGTTGTTTTCTAAATAGATTATGACTATTTGTACAAATTTTAATAGACTCGGTAATGACGATGTGATAAATGCGATAACACGTCTCAGCACATTGCGTCGTTCAAATGGGCTCGTCAACAGAAATTATTACGTTTTGAATCTATTTACATGTTAAACCAATACTTTATCTTTTAGTCGACATTTAGACCCAATTTCGTCATGCTCTATTAGTTTATAATATGTCTCGTTAGTTACTGACTATAATTATATTAAATTAGTAGTTTAGATTCAATAATTTATTAATCAGCCGTTCAGTTTTATACAGGTTTGTCCTGACTATTTGTCATATAACATTTAATGTTTTTACCAAGATGTTTTCGTATCAACTTAATTACTACATGTTTATCTGATGATACTAATTATGTAAAATTAATAAAAGCATTTTACATTCACTTAAGTGTAGCTAGCGCTCGCCATTATAATTTCATCATTACATTTTATTATCTTGTTTATATATTTTATAAATATCTTTGTTCTACCCTTAATCTTGCAGCAGATATATAAATTTATAAATAAATAAATTTCACAGACAAGTTATAAACTTAAATGTAGATTATACCAAAGAAAAATGGCCTAAACATGTGAGAAGTACTATGAAAATAAGAAATTAAATACTTTGGTGACAATCGAGAAACAATAGTGTTGATATTATCCTTGCTGGCGTCGTAATTATTTTTTAATTAAATCAAACACGATACTTTACTAGATATCCCGTTCTGGAGCTCGTCGAGTGGTACTGCAACAAGCGACTCCTGCAATGGCTGGGAGATTCAGATGTGAAGTATCAGCGGATGCGCCAACTTTCCACACCGAAATACGTTCCGCACCTTTGGAAGTAGTTGGTAATTTTCTCTTTATAAAACTTCTGTATACTAACTAAAAACACCATCCAACATGGTATTTTTTAACCGACTTAAAAAAAGAAAGAGGTTTTTAACAGACTTCAAAAAAGAAGGAGGTTTCTCAATTCGACCGTATATATTTTTTTTGTGTGTTCATGAATAACTTCGTTGTTTATGAACCGATTTTAATGATTCTTTTTTTTCTTTTAAAGGAGATATCAGGCAACCCAGAGAAATCGAGGGAAATCCTCAAATGTTATAGGTATTATGTTATTTGACGACCCGAATGGCGTAGTGGGTAGTGTACCTGCCTCCTGCTACAGAGGGTTTGGGTTCGATCCCCACTACTAGAAAAATATTGTGTGATGAACATAGTGTTTTTCTAGTGTCTAGGGTGTTTATATATGTATAAAATTACATTGTATTGTTTAAATATGTTTATCAGATTTCTAGTAACCATATTACAATCGTTGCTTAGTTTGGGACTATAAAATGTTGTGTAAAAATGTGTCCCTTAAATATATTTATATTAACTTCCAGTTTCCAGTTTGAAGTCGTTTTTTTTGTTAAAAATTTATTATTTCATCAATACGTACAAGCATTTACTTGCCATGCAGATATCTGCATGGTAGGTAAGAAAAATGGATTGAATATATGGAAAGCGATTGAAGACGGTCGAACGCGGACGAAGATGAACCGAGACGAAAAATAGATTCAGTTCGTCATCGAACGCGATTATTATTTATTCATTTTGAATTTGCTCTTATTTTGTTGCAGAACCTCCAGAATGGGCACCTAAATTGGTTTCCGATCGGTCATGGTATGGCGTGGGGTCAAATTTACGGGCTACGTGTGCATCTCCGCCAGCTTTTCCCCCGGCTAATCTCACTTTTGCTCTTAACGGGCAAGAGGTAAACATATTTACTTATTTATGATGTTACTATTTGATAGATTTCACCAACTTTGATGTTATTCGTCGTATTATGAAAATAATATATAAAATAATAAAATATCTCTAATTCTATAGGAATTGAATGAAGGTGGAAGTATCGTAAATTATAAAAAAAATATTTTTAGTATTAACAAACATTGGCATATTTATTCTGCTGTTGCTTTTGTACAAACATTTAAAGATAAAAACAAAAATAGATACTTTGTAATGGCTCTTCGTTGATGAACCGGTCCATGATGTAGTGGAGTCATTATAAACAAGACAACTCATCAGTATTATTCAAAGAAGCGCTTTCATCTTCCATTTCTGCATTAGATCAACAAAATTGTTTCTACGAATGAAATAGAAAGCTTTTTTTTTTTTTTAATTTATTGGGACATAAAACAGTTATACATTAACAATTATACATAAAATGGATTTTCTAATTATTAAACTAAACGTATAACCCACACCAATGTCCGCAAAATAATATTAAGTTAAATAAAATAAAAAGAGTAAGTCGGTTCCTAACCTAATTTGCATATTACTTTTTAAGTATTAGTGTAACCATTCTTTTAAATTGATTTTGGGAAAGTGAAAACAAATCACAATTCATAAATTTAGAGTTATATACATCTAGCACTCTACGAAGCAGTGCTCGCTGCCCAGCATTTGTTCTACACTTTTCAGTGTAGAACAATCGGGGCACGCGTGCATCGCGTATGGTAACTCTTCTTGGTACAATGTAACCAATCCTGTTAGTAAGCTCCACACAGTCGAATTTATTATTACATAATCCATATAACAGCATAGCCATAGCGAGAGTGCGCCTGGACTCCAAACTCAATATCTCATATTTTTCTAATAATTGTACATAAGAAAGCCTAGCGTGAAAACATGTAAAGTGCATAGTGCGTAAGAATTTCTTTTGTACAATCTCTATTCTTGAAATGTATTTTTCATAGAAGGGATTCCATATTGGAACAGCAAATTCTAATTGAGAACGAACCAAGGTTTTGTATAAGAGTAGGAAAGTCGAAGGACGCTTAAAGTCATCGGTCGAACGCATAACAAATCCAAACAACCTAAAAGCATTATTAATAATATTATCAATGTGTATATTAAAGTGCAGCTTTGAATCTAGAGTCACACCAAGATCTCTAATGAAGTTAACCCTTTCTAAGGGTACGTCATTAATAAAGTAATTGAAACTAAGTAAATTTTTCTTTTTTGTAAAAGATATAATTTTACATTTGGGTAGACTTAGGTTCAATTTATTTTCTAGACAGTATCTAGAAAATCTGTTCGAATCGCTTGAGAAATATGCAATCCTCCAGAGTTCGACATGTCTTGTAAATTTTGATATCGTCGGCGTACATTAAAAACTTTGAATGAAGAAAACAAAATTTGAGATCATTGATGAATAGAATAAAGAGAAGAGGCCCTAAGATAGATCCTTGAGGAACCCCAGAAGGAACAAATATATAATCTGATTCAAAGCCATTAATAACGAGTTTCTGCGTCCTTCGAAATATGTATGACGAAAAGCACCGCAGTAAATTTCCACGAATGCCATTATATGCTATCTTGTCCAGAAGTAATTTATGATCCACCGTGTCAAAGGCTTTTTGAAAGTCAGTGTATACTGTATCAGTTTGCTGTTACGAATCCATGTTTTCAAATAAGTGGTTTGTAAATACCATAAGATTGGTAGTTGTGGATCGACGTTTTATAAAGCCGTGTTGTTCAGGTATGATAAGATTATGAATATAAGGGTACAAGGTGTTGTGAATTAGTCTTTCGAAAAGTTTGGGCAAGGTGCTTAGTTTAGAAATTGGTCTATAATTTTCTATATTACTTTTATCGCCACTCTTATAAATTGGAGTAATGTAAGCACGCTTCCAAATATTTGGAAATTTGCCTTCCATAAAACACTTATTAAATAAAATTTGTATTGGGAAAACAATATGATCTGCAGTAGATTTAAAAAATAGATAAAAAAAAACGAGGTATACCATCAGGTCCAGGACCCTTGTTCAAATCCAAATTTTGCAAAGCACGTAGTACATCATCGGTAGTTAAGTGTATCTGGCTTAAGCAAGAAGCATTATTAGAAAAGTTAGAAGGAAATTGCCAGTTTATAGGATCAAATGAACAGGGCTCGTACACGGATGTGAAGAAAGCTGAGAATAAATTACATATTTGGATAGGATCATTAGAAAAAACATTTTTTAAATGCATAATAGCGGGGAGACTACTTTTACCTTTTCGGCTAGACACATACTTCCAAAAAAACTTAACATTATTCACGATGGAATCTTCAACCGAATTTATATACTTCTTGTAACATTTATTACACTCCGTTTTGAATCGAGTTCGAAAGACAGAAAAAGTTTTATAGTCCGATGTATTACCTAATTTCTTCCACTTAATCCAAGCGCGTTCTTTACATTTGAAAATACTAATAAGTGGAGGGGAAAACCAAACGGGAAATCGTCTATTTTTTGTACGAGTAAGAGGGACATGTGATTTTACCATACTATATATAACATCGTAGAAGACATCGACAGCCTCCTCCGAAGAAAGATGTGTTAGTATGTTTTTCCAATCTTTTTTACTTAAGTCTTCGATTATTGCCTCATAATTAGCTTTGTAGAAATTGGGCAAAGATAAGGGGCGACATTTCATAAGCACACCTTCCGTTTCTAAGTGCGAAAACACGCAAAATGGAGGATGGAAATTATCTGGTGAAAGTAGTGTCATGCAAGAGTTAGAACGGCATTCTAAGTCCGATATGAACAAATCAAGTATGCGATCTAGACTATTGTTCAATTTGTTATACTGAGAGGCATTATTAAGCGATACAAAGTCCAACAATAGACGACACGTAGTAGGGGTTGATTTTGAATGAGTATAGGTTCCCATATTAAACCAATCAATATCGGGAACGTTGTAATCGCCTGCAATAAAAAATGAGGATGTACTAGGGCTAATTATTAAATCGTTCAATTGATTAAAATGAGCTTCATAAATAGTGTCATGACAACCTGGAGGTATATAAGCTGCACTTATTAAGTGACGCGTATTGGGTCGTGATGATGGAATTTGTACCATGACATGTTCAATACTAACATGAGTGGGGCAAATTAGAATCTTTGTTGGTCGTAGTGTTCGTAGTGCAGCTATAAGTACACCGCCGCCATCTCGTTTCCCGGTTGCAGAACGGTCACGATCACATCTAAATACTAGATAACGGTCGTCGATAAATTCACCGTCCAGGATATTAGGTGTAAGCCAAGTTTCCGTCAATATGATCACATCATACGAGAAAGCTAATATGTTCATATACAGTAAATGCAATTTTGTACGGATCCCTCTGCAGTTTTGATAATAAAATGTTAAGTTGTAATTATCCATTTTTTACCGTTGAATATCCGTAAACAATGTACAAATATAAGAAATTGATTCCGGAGTCCAGTTTAGTGGAGCTAAATTTCCAACGCCGTATTAATATGTAACAATGAATCATATCTAAAAAATAAGTATTTACACAAATAGTTGTACATATGTAATATGCTTGATGGAAGATACCATTATGTAAGAAGTCGACCTGAATTAAACTAATTTGATTTAAAAGTAATAGTAATATGTAACTACACACACCGCTTATATAGTAATAAACAATAACGTAAACAATATCATATGCACAATGCAGTAATATTATATTAGCATAATATTTTACGTACTTTAAGTAAAAATGCCAAACAAGAATATTTAAATCTAAATGGAAATATCTTAAACAAAGAATTAACGTATAACTGTCATAAAATTTGGCATAGGAACAAATTACATACAACGAATAAGCCATATTGCAGGTAGTGAAAAAATAGTTATAATTGCACTTATAAAAGAATACAAAGTTACTTACACAGATCAGTGAAAAAGTCAGAGTAAATGCGTTTAACAATAGATGCAAGAAAGAATATTTTGCTAAATACTTATACCAACTAAGAACCACAATAAAAAAAAGGTACACACAAATTAAATACAGTGATATAAAAAATTAAATTAATTGGAATTTTTTGGGATGAGCTTAGATATATCATTCTCAGAACGTATAGCAAAGGCAGCAGTTGTGACATCCTTTCGGATAAGTACCACTCCATTCTTAACCCAAACAAATCGGTAGCCATGTTCCTTAGAAATACTCCGGGCTTGACGAAATAATTTCTTATTTTGTATGGTAAGATGTTCATTAATGAATATTTTTTGAGTAGTTCCTTGCAGTTCATTAGACGTGATACCTTTCTTGAGACGAACCGCTGCAATAAAATTATCGCGCTGTATTTGGCTGGTGAACTTTACAACTATATTTTTGGGCCTCTTGGAATTAGGGTGCATTTGAGGAACTCTATGAATTTCGACGAAGTCATGGGCATAGAGGGGATGCTTGATAATGCTGCCAATATTCTCCAATACATTTAATAAGTTTTCCCCACGTTTTTCTGGCAAATTACTTATCTCAATATTACAATTTCGAGATTTTTGTTCCATGACTTCCAATTTTGCTTCCAAGACGTCAAGCCGCGGTTCACTTGGTTGTGCAGAATAAAGCTTACTTTCAATCTCTTTCAAACGATTATTAATATCATAAGTTTTCTTTTCAAGATCATCATATTTATCACTCATAGACTGTATTGATGTTTTCACGGTTTCAAACTCAGAAATAAGGAAAGAAAACTTTTCATCTTGTTTTGTAAACCAAGATTCAAGCATGTTCAACATCGTATTTTGAAAGGTTTTGAATTCTTCCCGAAAATTATCACTATTGTTTCCGGCACCTTTTCGAAATGTTATATATGTTGGTGCCGATTTTTTATCATTCAGTGATCCATCTACACTCATAATTCCAGATTTCGATGAGTTTCCTTGATTGAGTTTAATTTTAAATAAATTATATTAAACACTATGCTCGGTTCACTACTCTGTGTAAGTTTAGCACGCTTACTTTGTATAAAATTGCGATAAGGCGTCTTACTCACACGCACGTATTGAGAACGAACTGACTATTTAGCAATACCACAAAGCGACACAACCGACTCACTCCAGAGTGCACGAATGACTTTTGATATTAATCATAGTGTTTATTGTTAATAGATTGATGTTGAATCAATAACACATGAACTACCACAGTGGTTTAAATGGGACCCATTGATAAAGATCGAGTCGACCACAACGGAGCGATCTGAAGATGAAGTAAATCTTAACGTCTTTCACGATGAAGAAAACCCTGAGTATTTGGATGAGACGTACATTAATTTGCACAGGGAAGAAATAAGACGGCCCCGTAATGAAAATCTAAAACCAATATTTGAGAGAACAGCTCCAGATAACAGAACACCAACTGTAGGAGTGGTATCAATAGTGGTCCGCACTGAGGCGTTTGAACGCGGTAGCCTGAGACTTACTTGCATCGCCAATATTTACAATCTGTATTCCGCACGTGCTGAATTAATTTTCGATATGGAGCAACCTGAAGTTGCTTCAGTGTTAGGAGTACGTAATGGAGGCGCAGGTGAGTTTCCCTTTACGAGTATTAATGCCTATTTAATAATACCCCGACATTTTTATATGATACTTTGAGACTATAAGTACTTTTTCATAATGGGATGGTACATTTTAGTCATTGAAGAGTAAAATTATATTTTTCTTTACTGGTTATTTGTAATAATAATATACTGTACACCGTTAATTTATTGTACACATTATATGTAGGTTTATTTATTAGGTTTAACAAAAAATAAAGTAATAAGAAAAATATATCTCTAGTGACATCGAGTTAAGAGTGAAATAAAGGGGAAGGGAGAAAACATCAAGAGATAGAGAGGAGCTAGACAGACAAATAATGCTCCTTAACCTGTAAAATTTTACTGATTTTAATTTTTCTGATAGTCTCTTCACTCGTAGAATATTATAATAGACAAAACGAATATTATAATAGACAAAAATAGAAAATTACTTATTTCAAAAATATTAATCATAAAATGTTTTTTGAATGGTATTTAAAGCTGTATAGTGGTGCAACACAGTAGGTATGACGTGAAGGATCCCTAAAAATACAATGTAAGAAAGAAGATATTTTCACACCGGGAGACTTTTGATAACTTTATAAGCGTTTCATGTCTTGCCGAAGACTTTGGACCATTTGACTTTATATGATAAGTTATTTTTTTTTATTATAATACGTATTCTATGATTTTTTTTTTCAGTGTCCACTTTGAATTATGCCTGGCAATTGGGCTTCTTATTGCCTCTATGGCGGCTTGCTCGGTAGTTCAATTAAAATTGTTCGAAGATGTGTACAAAATTGTAAGTATGTCTACGCAAAAATTTAAGAAAGAAAAAAACATTAATCTGTACAAATTAATAAACATATCCAGATGGAATGGACAAATGGTTTGTGTAATTTAAGGTTTAAAATATTATTTCATAACAAGTAATATAAATATTGTAAATTACGTTTGTTGAAACCAATTATAGTAAGAGTCTATTTGTTACATAAAATGTACTAATTTTACAAAAGTTCTTAACTTAAGTAAATTAAAATTTAAAAAATGAAATAACCGATGCATTCATCGTGATTCCTATTTGACATTTTAGCGAGTTAGGGCTTAACAGATTATCTTATAAAGAGGGAATAAACTTTTAAAAGACTGATTACTTATGTATATATCGTATTTCCTTTATTGTGTTTTTCTTCTTCATGTATTAGAAACTACCATCGAAAGCTAAGCAGTGTCACTCCGTTTTAGATTTGGAGTCATTTTCAAAATACTTCATAAATAGGTATATGGAAATAAGTAATGAAATCTATTATAAAAATGTAAATAAAGTTATAATCATAATTTTTTGGATATTGTAGAAATAAATATAGATGTTGGCATTATAAACTTTTTTGATTGCTTCATCCTTAACACTTTTTAAATTATTGTTCTGGCTTTTAATGGACCTATGCGTATACTAAATAAATATAAAGATAAAATGAAGCGTTCAATTCGCTACAAAACCGAGCATAATATTGAAGAAGCAATAGGCAAATGATGATGTTTGGTGCTATCACGATAAGTCGCGAACCCGTTAGCGTAAATGCAATTTAACAACTCTTGTCTCTTTTTGTACCTGTCACGGCTTGCAAACGTCAAGAAATTACCGTCAAATTTCACACGAAATTCAGTTATATACGTGCGAAACATGCCTGCATGTTACATGCTATGCACGAGTTTTAAAGTAACCGTTTTAATTTTATAGTATATAAGTAGACAAAAATTATTTAAACGTGACACTTTCTTTGATAAAATTATTTAGATGAGCAATTTTCATAAAACGTTCCGTTTAAAACGTATGTGATTTTGCATAATTAACAATATTTCTACTTAATTATTTGAAATTTCCTGTTGTAGCTACTGTTGAAATTTCCTGTTGTACCAATATAAAATCTAACTAATTTCTAGAAATCATTCCTTCATTCTAGGAATTAGGATATAATACAAAATCCTCATTTCATTTCGTTTTTAATTTAATTTATACAAAGTTTTGTATTGATTCGAGTTGGAAATGCGCAACGTTTCAATAACAGTTTAAGTAAAACTTTGTAGAAACCAGTTATTACACGTTATGTTATTACACGACGAACCGAAAATCATTTAACTTTTATGATCTTTATTGAACGAGAGGTTGATTCGATCTGAGCTGGTTGAAAACATTCTTAGGAAAATAATTTTGCCATGCGAACGATTGCAAATTTTATATTGAGTTTATATAATTTGTTGTTATGCGGGAAATTAATTTACGAATACAAAATTTTATTTTAGGTGTGTTTGTTTGCTTTTTATTCTGAAACATTTCATTACATTTGAGTTTGAAATGATTATCGCTTACAATCGAAACGAATATACTATTTAAAGTCTTTTTTTATGTGAGAAGGAGGCAAGCAAACTGGCAATTTACCTGATGTTAAGTGATAACCGCCTTCCCATTGACATTTGAAACATCCGTAGGGTTTCAGATGCGTTGCCACCTTTTTAATAAAGTGGGCTCTGGAATTCTCAGTAAACGAGACGCAGAAGTATAATACTTCCACTTCAAGCTGGTCTTCTGTGAGGTGCTAGTACTTACCCGAAAGGACCTGCTCATTCCTGCAACAGTGAAGACTGTTGCGTGGCCATACCACGCATAATCCTTTAACTATTTTGGTGTGAGTTAAACTAACGACGTCCATCTTTAAACTAAATGTACATACTGACGACCCGAATGGCGTAGTCGGTAGTGTACCTGCCTACTGCGCCTGTGGGTGTGGGTTCGATCCCCACTACTGGAAAAATATTGTGTGATGAGCATAGTGTTTTTCTAGTGTCTGGGTGTTTATATATGTATAATGTGTATTTATTTACAAAAGAAAAGTATGTTTAAGTATGTCTATCACTTTTCTAGTACCCATAGTACAAGCATTGCTTAGTTTGGGACTAGAGAACGTTGTGTAAAAAGAATGTGTCCTAAAATATTTATTTTATTATATTTATATATGAGCAATAAAATATAAGTGATGGAAATTGGAATCCAGTTTTGTTATTTTACTGACAGTATTCTAAAACGTATATCTTGATTAGAGCTACGAATGAACCAGCAAAACAGAGAATATTGTTATAGCATGAAAAACCTTACAAATTATCTATATAGCACTCTAATTGGCCGTGCCACGTTACAGGTGACAAAGCCTTTCACTTTCACAAGCGGAACAACCGCCGTACGTTTTCACAAGCGCGTACAATTTCACACCCTGTGGGTTCGCTTAATTAACCCGTTCTGGCGCCTTTAAATGAGTTGTTGTGCTTTCGCAAATGACCTCACTTATTATTTCAGTTTTATTTTTAATATTATCTTTTTGATCGAAACGCACAACGTGGGACATTTTTTACCTAAAGGTATGGAAGCTATGAGTTCGGCGGTGAAGGAAATTTTGGAGAGGAAATCTGTATGTATTGTAATGTATGTTTTCCAAATAATATCAAAAAAAATATGTGGAGTCTCCCAATCCGCAGTGGGATCGCGTGGTCCTGGACTACACATCTGTACAGAGGAAGACTTTGCCCAGCAGTGGGACAAATATTTGTATGCTGGAATTTTGTTTTTTTTTAAATTATTTAATTCAAATTAATGTAACACGTATGTTTATACTATGTAAATTAAATATAAAATGAACTTTAATGGGAAAAGTATAAAAGAATAATGTAGCCGAAAACTCTTTTTAGATTAGCGATCGGTTTCAATATGGCTGACTAGCGATAGGTATTTGACATTAGCCCGATAATACTAACGTTCATCTACAGTAACCTAATCTATCTGTAGATTGAATATTGAAACCAACCGTAGGTCGTTAAACTTTATATGTTTTCTGCAGTTAAGATTACAAAAGCTCGATTGAGGTTATTATAATATTTACGTGTAATTGTTCATACTTTTTAAGGGAGAGGGAGATCCTGGGGACCTGGGATTTATGAAAAGGAATACGAGATTTTTATTTTATTCCATAATATTTCATAACACACTTTACATCCTTTTTTATTATTCTTCTACTTTTTTTTACCTCCGCATTTTAATCCATGAAGACTTATCATGCAGTAATGCCACGCAGCTATTGTACATACATACAGGCAGGCTCGTTGTTGGAAATGCTATAGCCGTAAAGAAAACAGTGGAAGAAGAAAAGAGTACAGTGGAAGTCTCTGTACTTTTGCATTTGATCCGATCAGTGAAGGTATGAAGCTTACACTTTTAAAAGTTACCAAGGCATCTGCAACCGCACAGCTATTGAAGATGTTTTAGGCGACGATAAAAACTAAATAGCAGGTAAACTTTTTCAATTGTTGGTAACAAGTGAAAAAGTTTACCTGCTTTCACATGAAACAAAACTCCAATTACAAAAAACTCCTTTACTTTGTTCGTTATTTTCGTTCGAAACTAAAACTTTCATAAATAGCTACAATGTATAATTAACTTTGGTAGTTGGCGTATAAGATTTATGTTTGGTAAAAGGGGCTGATGTAACTGTATAAATATGGTTGTAGCCCGTTTCTATTTAATGGTCTTATTATTTATATCGCCGCGAAGTGTTAAATTAAATTAACGCCCCTTTATCAAAGCGACGGACGAAATAGTCAGTGGCTCGCGAAAGCGCGTATTAACCTATTTAACACTAATCCGTGTTCAATAACTTAACCCGTGATTCATTCTCTTATAATAACACGAAAATTTAAAGGGTTGAATGAATATGTTTTGTATAGAAGATACTTTTTGTTTCGGAATTTTTATTATTAGCCTTATCATTCATATATAAAGATTGAATTTTTGATATTTGATATTGAAGAATTTGTAAATAACTGATAATCAAAAACTACTTAGTGATGAAATTTTATTACTAATAATTTACCTAAAGAATCTTTAAATTTTTTTTAATTTAGTTGTATGTAAAATAAACAAGTGTACGGATTATATCACGATAAATGTTATTTTAATCTCCCGACCTTCAGAATATGTACATAGATGCTCTTGTGTATTATCATAAAATTGTATTATCGAGTATCAAAGACGCGACTGACCATATTATATGTAAGTAAGTATTGTATATAAAAAGAAATACTATTTGCGAGAATTTTTTATATATTTTTTTTATTTTTTGGGCTTATTTACATTCAATATTACACAATATTTTTCGACAATTCATTTATTAAACATGAGTTTAATAAATGAATTGTCGAAAAATTTTCAGTGCTGCCAGGATTCGAACCTGCGTCTTCTATGTAATGGGTGGGCATAGACGCTCTAGCTAACAGTCGGCTGATATTCTCACGGCGCGAAAATTTAGACAAGGTAAATATTTTTCTGCATTTTTACCAATGATTGGCGTCACTTGCTCACTGAATGGTAAAAACAAAAAATATGAATAGTAAAGTTGCACACTAGGTGTCGGTGGTAATAACTTATGAATCGATAATTAAAAAAAAGTCATTACCTAGTTACCTCCACTAAAATATCTCAACCTTCAAATTTTTTCCGTAATCGTACAACAACATCATTATTAATAAGATCTGTGTATATGAGAGAGAGAAACATGAAATTATATTACTCCGAAACTAAAGGGAGAGGATACTTAAGTATTGATGCGATAACTTGAGCTCGGCTTGCTGTCGCTAATGTCTTTTCTATGTCAACTAATTATTACGATAGTTTTTTCGTGCATCTTATGCAAGTGAAAACTTACCCATGACTAAGAGA